CGAACCCGGAACTTCATGGGCAGCACGCAAGCATGCTACCCACTACGCCACCGAGTAGCTCATCAGGCCGTTTTTCACTTTCCATTAACACGATGTAGGCTAGTGCTGAGATGAGCAGGGTCTGTGGCCCGCAACAAGCTCGCAGAGATGGATTGTGCTACATCGTGTAAATCGAAAGTGAAAAACGGTCCGACGAGCTATTTGGTGGCGTAGTGGGTAGCATGCTTGCGTGATTCCCATGAAGTTCCGGGTTCGATCCCCAGTTGGGTCGATGGGTTCGCACTGCTGGTGAGACCCAACCAGGTCGAAACAGCTGTCCAGTGCTCCCTAGCTTTTCAGCTCACGCTTCATTTGCCATAGGCACGACGAATTTCCATTTGAAATTTAATCAAATCCTCCATTACGCACATGAATTATGTCACATTTAACAATTCTTCGGAGAGCCCATTTTTTGTGTTATGAAACTCCAGTGTTGGGAGAAACACGATGATGATTATTTGTTCTGGTAGACATGGTCATTTTAATATGAAAGCCACTTATCATTCAATCCTTTTGACTACCAAGCGATCCTTGATTTGAGAGTTTTCAGATTTTTGTAGAGGCTCTTTTACAATACTTATTGATCACAACTTCTGCTGTCTCTGATTCAGTCGAGAACGAAAAGATTTCGATAAACAGCAACAAATCTTATGCGTACCACAGAACTAACTTCACAGGAGGTGATGATCAGGTGTGTTCGTTCTTATTGTGTATCATTAATTCACTAGAGGAGATTACCATTCGTAAGTGATGCACCAAGCGGACCCGAAGATCACCGAAATTTGAAAGTGAACCGAATCGTTCAATATGGAAAACGTAGAGATTCTGGAATTTCGTACAAATACCTCTCTTGCTTATCACAACGGGCAATTATTTCAAGTAATCTTCGATAGCAGTCCATGTACCATAATATTATTGTACCTGTACCTTTAATGATCCTAATGAAGATTATCACTATAATTCCAGTTAGATATTCTATACAAACCCTAGATTTAGATTAAGCCTTCGGAAATACATAAATGGAAGGTCGTTTTTCATCAAAGAATCAATATCACTTATACGTAAACTCAACTTACAAAAATTACACTCTGATTCATTGGTTTTTAGTTCTCAAGGGCAAAGGATAGACCGCGTACTGCGGGTAGCACTGAAAGCGACACAGATGATTTGGTGACATCTGGTGTGGATACAAAAGAGGACCAGATCACGTTATGCGATGTGCCCCAGCTTGCGAACCCAGGAACGATGAAACTGAGCGATGAACTGTTCGATTTGGAAGACTGTGATGTGTGTAAGTGTGCCATATCAGTTCTCGGAATATCTATGGGCTATGCAATTTCTGCACTTCAAGACAGTGCTGATTGTCCACTTCCTTATTTCTAGAAGTTGATTGAATTATTCTCTGTCCGATTAAAAGGGGAGTTAAGTGATTGAGGAGAACGCTCTTCAGATAAAAATGATCATTTTCTTTAAGTCTTTTGAATGAATGCATGGAATTCACTTATAGTTGTTTAGGGACCTTTTTTAAAATTTACACCAATCACTTTAAGAAAAGAACATTTTTCGTATAAATCTGCGTAATGTACTTTCAACCAGCTTAGATTCTCATGCTTCACCGCGGAACTCGTTGTTTCAATTTTTACATATGAGCATATGCGTTATCCATTACAGTCATAACACGTAATTTCAAGGTGAGGAGAATCCTAGGCGCCTGATAATCTCTTTAAAAATGAGAAAATTAAATTCTACAGTCAGGTATACTAATAAAGACATTTGTTAATACTGAATACCATTCCAGCAGATTCTTTTCTAGAGTTGGATGGATCTTTTAATAGATGGAAGTAACTTTGTCTAGATGAACAATAATGAAACATTTGTTTATAAACTGGAGACGTTACCATCCAACTGATTGACAGAATGACTTCCATGGGTGGTGGTGGCGCAGTGGTTTAGTCGTTGTCACAGGCGTGCTTTGGACCCTACGGTCCGAGGTTCCAGCCCCGCTACCACCACCCAACTTTGGTGGTAAGCAGCTGTGTTGTCGTCCGGTTCAATAACACACCCAACCTAACGGGGCCTTATAAGGTTCACCATTCCAAGTACCGGGGCTTAGGTTACAGGTTACCATCACTGAACAGCAGGTCTTCGTGCCCATGGGGCTTTCTTCGTCTGCTGTGTATCACACAAAAGTGTGCAATAAAAAAACATTGGAATGAGTAGAAAAATTGCAAATCCAACTCAACAAGAAGAACCCGAACCGAATGTAACAGGAAAAGTTTTGGTCGGTACATAGGGTTTATTGACATCAGATTTATTACAGAATGGTTAAATAGACAATCAATGTTGTTGGTTCTACTCTTTATTCAGTTGGGAAGAGCATCCGTTTTTGATTTCATATGGGATGGTTCATTACATTAAGTTTTCGACACTATTTATTTGTCACGCTAAGTGCCCTTTCTCGGTATCCCCATCGATCATAGCAAACGACCCCACCCTGACTGCTGCCCTAGATAACGATGAAATTCTCCGAACAGACAATCAAATTTTCGAGTGAGTCCATTTGTTTTATGCCACTGTTTTATCGTATCTATTTTATAGTTTTTCTGTTTTCAATCCAATATCGAGAACCCGATGTGTCTGATAAACCGATATGTGCATTGACTTACAACCAATTTTAAGAACTGAAGGATTACAATACATGAGTAAAACTTTGCATTCCCATTCATTTTCATTTTCTGAGAGTTCAAACCGTTCGATCTTTAGACAGTTGATAGCACACGTGATTGGTTCTCTCAACGGTCACATGCCAAATCATTAATGCAAATACCGATCGTAAAATGGCTAAACGCCAGACAGTTTGTACGAGCTTAGATACCGGAAGTTGGGAAAGTTTATCAAAATCCCAAACCCTGGATGTTATTGCAGACAAACTTTTATTGCCTCAAATTGTCGGAGAACATTATTGGGTTAGCTGTAAATAGTTAAAAATATCAGTGAAATTAACGGAATGATTTTACAATTATTGACCTCAAACTAAATATATTTTGCAAACCTCGTGCTGTGACACGTGGAAACCTATTCTGCGGTAAAATTATACAATTGCAAAAGGTGAAAATTCTGATTATTTTTCTACTATTCATGTGCAGTGTTCAGAACTTCACTGTAAACAAAACATGACGGCATTCCTCGGTATTTTTCACTTCACTAAACCGGTAGGAATGTCTGAATGTGGAAGCTGTTAAATTAAATATTGACATCGACATTCTTTTTCCGCACCAACGCAGTGGACAGACAGAAAACATGAACCAAGGATGCGATTGCTGCTTTAGCGGCGGTAATTCACTTCGGATAGGAGAAACCGGTGTTTGGCTTCTCATGTAGTGCTGACGAACTAGAACTAGTTATTCAAATAAAAAAGGGGAAAGGATGGAGTAAAACACCAGACTTACCAAATAACGCAAACTAGGAACAAACGCTGTGCCCAAAAATTAATACACTTCGTTAATTTTCTTTTGTAATCTCTCAATTTGCAGTAACCTCGCCATTTGATCGTATGATGTACACATTGCGTTGCATTCGTTGATTGCGACAACGTTTTCGATCGATTTTGTAAAATTTGGCTTGAGATCATCGTATTCATTGTCTTTCACCATAACTAGTAGCCAAGGGCGTTATCGATCGCCTAACTACTACGCAACATTTATATACAAATAGAAGTAAATCAAGAACGTCAACCTTTACCGGTTCAGTATCGGTAGCAGCCTGCAACCGTAGTAAATGAACTGCATTTGACTCCCACAACTGCACTCTCCCCAAGTCTTTCACACTCACCACCGGCAACATACGTCTCATAAAATAAATGAATAGCGGAGATAAAAGCCCAAACGTGCCGCATTACAACACCATCCACTTAAATGTACCACCACCTAAATCTTTATTAATTTTTTCTGATCTCCGCAGCTATGGATGAGATCGATGGCTTGTTTGACCGATACGCCGTGTGCTTATGTTATAGATTACTCCTACACTACCTCGCTGTTGAAGAACACTGGCCAGACGGCTTATGTGCATACAGACTGAAAAAACCGTCTGATCCGTCGTCTGTGGTATCGGATAGCGCAATCCGCTGTTCGGCTCACATTCCGGAACCCGACGGAAAATCAGTGCATGATGGTAAATGCAACTTTCAATTTCACAGCCTAACCCGATCGGAGTTTACGCACGCACCATTTGTATTGGACAAGGGAGATTTGTTGGAATTCTGTTGGTCAGGACGCTGGATGTCTTGGCAGTGTACCGCGGCCTATTTACTGTCTAACTCGACAGAGGTGAGATGCTAGACAGATTTTAACTAAGAACATTTTACAACTTAATTGTGTTGGACCGATGAAATTCCGTTTGACACACTACATGTGCAGACAGCAGTGACTGCCTCAGTTAATGTGTCGAGACTTGAAGTAACGCTGTTTTTATTGCCATAATTCATTCTGAGAATTACACTTTTTGAATTCAGTGGAATTAAAATACATACTTTAAGTTTGTGTCAGTTTCTCATGGTGACAACCTGATTGAAATGCATACACCCCTCACAGCATACACAGAAGAAATATACCGTGCACATCCTGGCATGGTATTATTAGGTTACTTCTGTTACCCACAGTGATAATCAGTAAATTAGTTTCATATTAAGAACTGATAATTCGTGAACCCATACCGCGATATTCCGTCTACCCTTAGGAAGGAACACAGACTGAGTTTCGAAACGTCGGACAAAAGAAGCCGTTAAAATGTGCTGTCCTCAAGAATAATCACACTTCAGTTCGTTATTTTACGATTTGACAAAAAGGAACGACTTGTTGGTTGAACGGCCCTCCACTGGGCTGGTCAAATATTTGTTAAAGTTGTTCAATTTTCACTGATCTGGTTGCAAATGTCCACATGAGAAACAAGAAGCTACCCACGTACCCTTGTGAATGTATACATCAGAATAGGTTTCTGCAACACGCTTTTGACAAAGGTAATCATATGACTAGCTAAAACTGACTGAAGATTTTATGTCGATTGTTTATGCTATGTTGAATCAGTGGTTTGATAGTTTTATTGCTCTAGAGAACTGGATGTGTTCGTCCACAGACTCCAAGACAAGTAAGCCGGTGCAGTTTACTGTGCCATAGCTTTGTTTTAGAGGAACTTTTCCAGAAAACCCCTTCCAATTCAATGGTATTATTTGCCCTGTTTAAATTCCAAAACAGCTTCAAGGAAACTCAGTTTTCCTCTGAATCAATAGCGGATGTTTTAGGTGCTTTTAGGTCAGAATCTAGTTGATGAAATTACTTGTATTATTCAGTCCAAAGCTTCCTATTTCCGATAGATGAACTCCATGTGAGAAAGCGAGTGGTAGTATGTGGATACTTTGCGTCAGGCAACATAGCTTCAAAGTGAGCTTTAGGATATACGCAAAATAAAAATGCAGCAAGCTGAGGATTCATGCTTTCTAATGTCAAACCGAACGGCTTCGTTCTGTCGTGTTTTCAACACCTGGAAAACAGTTCAAACCTTGTCCAAATGTTCGCTCAACATATTGTGTCTCAGCGAAATAGTGTTTGAGTACATATCCATTCCTTCAGATAATCCACAATTTAAAACTCGCGACGCACTCTCTGGGAAGGAAAAGAAAACGATCAACGGTCTGAAAAGATGCAATGAACGCCCAGGAACGAAACGAACCAGACCGGTTCAAGTGCACCCGCAACTGTAGTGTTCCATACTATAGAAAGACGGATAGGTTTTTGACCCCGTAAGTGTTGGATAGCACACAGAAAGGGCTTCCACAACCTACGCTAACAACTCCGGAAATAGCCAAAAGCCCAGCATCTAGGCAACGGATCACACGAATGATAGACCCAATCATTACAGTGCCCATATTTCATCTGAATTCGTGAACCTTAATGGTCTCCGTTTTGTGACAGTCGCCGGTGTTCTGTGGACAGAAAAGCCTTGCTTGCCGTGGCAATAGTTTCAAAAACCTACTCTCTCTCTCTCTCCCTCCCTCGCTACGACTAGAAGCGTTTTTCAATACATTGATGTGGACTGTTTCACCTTAACATATACAAAGGGAAATACTTTATATAGCTACTGAAGAGCTCAAAAGCAATAGTTGCATCTCGCAATCAGTGTATGATTTTGTTCTGATAATTTGAAGAAAAATACATTTTTAGCTCTTCACTTCGCTAATTACTAATGTTCTGCTTGATATATTAACAAAATGGATTTTCCACGTGGATTCCGGCGCAAATACGTTCAACAGTGTTTTGGAATATATTTTTTCTGATCAGTGCAATTGTCAAGCCATCACTGATTGTACAATCTTTTCCATTCGACGTCCTGCAGAAAGAAAAACAACATCTCCTGACAAGTGGATCCACAGTGCACATTCCATGGGACAACCCTGGCTCGGAACCTGGAGACACCTTGAATCAACCGACCGCCGCTCGATGGAACAATCAAGGCGAACAACTCTGCCCCCTGCTCCCGCCGATCAGTTTGCCCATTTGGAGTCCTCCTAGCCTTACTTCTGATGATGAGAGAGACGAATCACTTATGTCTGAAAACACGTGCAGGTAACACCACACAGCTAATGCATTCTCAGAATTATTTGTTCCCGCTGCATATTCCCCATTACAGATGAACTTCGGTCAACGATTGATTAGTCTGAAATATGAAACTGCAAACAGATACACACTCAAGTGTTGTTGGCGTGGTTTCTAACGGAAACAATGGGTATCCCTTTTGCCTCACTCACGGGATTAGGAAATGATATTAACTAGCCCCTGGTCTGTATTCGAAAGCTAAAAGCAGCTGTGAACGGTTTTCACGGGAATGGTAATTGATTGAGATAAACAACTGGTTGGCAGACATTTTCCATATCGCCAGCAATCACAAGCCGATTCCTTCGTGATTGATTTTCAGGGAGGCTATGCAATCAAGCTCTCAACCTATGGAATCTTTGCTACAAATGTCACAGATGCACAAAGGGGCAATGACACCAGAGCTGAGCAGGCTTTCGAGTACCCCGGACGAGGCTGGTTACTTTTCCGATGAGGGAGGTGATTTAACACAAATGAAATCTTTACGCAAACGATCGATTCGAAATGAGAGACGAATGTCCGTTCAAGGCACAATTCACCTCACATCTGAACAGCTGGTAAGTGATGGAATGTGAACACGACAATAGGGTTTTCTTCCACATTTTTCTGTCAATCAGTCACACGTCTATGACAAGGACCAGTTAATACTTTTGTACGGTTCTCACTCAATGAAATCCCCCTGTGCAAACGACAATTTCATCTGCAGCTTATGCACACAATGCATGTACTTTGACAGGGTTTGTCACATTCTGATTTCCCACTGTACTTACTGAACCTCTTAATCGCTTTGAAAATTGCATTGTGTGATTCTGAAAGTCCTCACGGTGCATAACCTTAAATGTATCGTAGTAGACGGTCGAAAAGCATTATAGGCATCCATACAAGATGCTAATCATGCAAAGGGTCTGGCGAAATACAATTCAAAGGACAAACCACAATTGCATGGATATTTATAACAACCAATGAACAGGGCATCCTGAATAAACTCAATCTTGGTCAGCGCCATGGATATTTGGGGGAGGATATCTGGAGCATTAGTGGCATGGATCACTGATCGACAATCCTTACGGGATACGGAATAACGCACAACCAGAATTAAGGTCAATTCCACGAAGAGAAAGAGCCGTTGCATATTGTTGTCCGTTTCTGATGATAGATTTAATTTTCCAAACATTTCTTCCTCACGTTGATAAATGGCATTCTGAATTGTAAGGTCGAGCAGTTCAACTCCTGACTAAGCGTTGTTCCACAATCATGATTTACCTTTTCAACAGCACGACCTGCATTTACGCTTTGGAGTCAATGAAGCCGTGTTCTCCGTAATAACCAAATATCAGGGAACGTGCCAATGCGCCTGTTTTATCTACCTGTGGGATTCCTCCACAAAGCTGGTCATATCCGACATTGATGGCACAATAACAAGGTCAGTGGGTAAAGTGAATAGATACATTTTGTTGATCAGGTATCTACAATTCTGAGATTGTAATAACCATCCACTTTGATTATCAACTATGTATTCGAAATCAGCCAGATCTGCCTACAGCCAGGACCACCATGCAGTCCGACTAGCAAATAGCCGTTTACAAATGGGAGAAAACAAGTGACATTGAATTTGGTACCTAATTTTCCATACTCCACAACCTAATTCTACGTGTTTGAAGAGTCCAGTTTCTCTGATCGCATCGGTCGGTTTACTTTACTGGTAGGTGCGCTCATGTTTGTTTGGGCGCGTACCAGATAAGGGAGACCCACCTCATATATCATGCCACGTTTGGTCAACTCCTCCCTGTCCAGCATCTTACGTCAGTTTGGTAATGGACTACCACCATCTACAGATATTGCACCCCCTACTTCTTTTGATTTGGCCTAAAGCTGCTGCGTCCACTTACATCGTACATTCTCAGGATAACAGAAACAGGTTGTATATTTTTCGTACTGCGGTAACTCCTTCAGTGTATTATAACCAATTTATTTTACGGTCAAACTGCTATTGCGGAATAAAAACAGTTCAGTTCTTTTGTTGACATTAAGCAGCAGAATCCGGTATTGCCTCGGCCTTCATCTGATGCTCTCCCAGGTTACTCAGCCCAATTTCCCCTACCAAATGTTCTTTGTTGGATCTGAGTTCCCCTGTGAAAAGTATGGACGGTTGCGTTCCTTTAGGGTATCAGCTACAGCAGACAAAAACCTTATTCTCGAGTCAATCTGTCACTAGAACGAATCCCATGTGTTGGATCCCAGTAGGGATTACACCCAATCCCTAAGATATACAATACAATTCCCGAATCCAAAGTGCTTCGGGCCAATCTTTTAGTTACAACTTGATACAGTGGCTAGTCCTGTCTTCAACTATCTCCCACTAGTCCCAATAAGATTTGTCTGTCTTGCGATTACGATTTATACAAAATATCGAATTTTCGCTGTCACAAAACACTATTGTCTTAATGCTTCGCCATCTGAAAACCAATGAAACCAAACTGATTTAGACATGGATAGTATAAGTCCCCCACCCAGTGGATAGAGCAGCTCGCCAAACCGTTTGGTTCATTCATTTTACTGTGCCTCACAAAAATCACGCACACGATATTTGGATCAGTCTGCGAACAATAAAAGCCAGAAATAGACAAAAGTTGCTGCCATTCATCGATTGACTGAAGTTGACCTGGATTCCGAAAAATATTTAGAACGCTCAGTACAAAACAGTCGACAAATACTATTCCGACGAAAACTTGCCGATGCTGAACGTACAGAAGCAAGCATCATCAATAATATTAATCCTTCAAAAAGATATAAAACTACATGCCTGATTGCACTGTGCTGATCGAATATATTGAACTGTTTTTTGTCATACTCTTCAGATCTGATTGGCTTGGTCAACTCATGCCCCTGGTCGGATATGATTGGATTCACTCCAGTGTCGTCCGCTTATACGATCGAATCGCTTTGAATGGTTATCAGTTTATCTATGTGTCCTCGCGCCCTATTGGACAAGCACGGTCGACTAGAAAATTCCTTCACACGGTCAGACAGGGTGACTGCCATCTCCCAGACGGACCTATCATTGTAGCTCCTTCATCGGTGTTCGAAGCGTTTCATAAGTGAGTTTGATCAGGACATACAAAACCGGTCGCATGTGGAAATCAATTTTAAGCATCTGTCAGGGGGAGACTGCACCAAATTCACTTCAAAGGAGAAAATGTGATCCTGCATACGAGTAGAAGATGGTTCAGTTGAGTTACATAAGTCGGAACGATTCTTTCGTAAGCGAATGGCGCAACACATTTGGGACAGAGAAAATATTAAAATGCAACAACCGGGTACAAGAGAGGACATCGTACACTGCGATGATGCCGAGAATTCGATTCTTATGCTTTTAATTACGCATCAGCCCTATTAACGCAAACCACTGCAGTATGATTATCATTTATTCAACATCAATCTTTACGGATGTGGCGCCAAAATAGTCAAGAGATGAAAATTACTGAAACAGAACAAGGGATAAAATATTAACAATTAAGGAGATGACAACTATTACGTGCTGGTTCACTGAATGACTTTTTTGTTTGCTTGTTTTATTCTTCGGATTACGTACAGAAGTTTTCCTGGATAAAAAAAAAACAGAATTCGGCCCGTGTTTCACAGGATTAGCTGGGCTGAATACAATGTTTCCATTACACTATTCGTTTCTGTTTCCTGACAAACAGTTTGGCGATTCAGCCATACTCCATACAGATCCGGGACACGGGAAGCGTGATGCATTACAATCATTAGCAAGAACCTCTATCCCCCCACTGATTGTAAACATGGCTATTATGGATAAATAGTTATAATCGTAATGAGATAGAAGGGTGTTTTAGTTAGTTTTGATTAGAGAAAAACAACCGTTTTAAGTTTAAGCTTACAAGTTCATTTAAAGCCTCCGGAAGAAAAAAGCTAGCCCAAATTGTACGAAAAAAGAAAGGCTTACTTAAGTACCTTCAGTGAGACGTTGAATATTATGAAGAAAGAAAACTCTTTTCCGAAAACTCGCCACATTTCACCTCCACAGGAAAGCAGCTGAACTAGAACGCTACGAAGGATCAATAAAAATAGGGGACAAACATTTGACACATAAGGCTTCAATTCCACTCATCAGCTGGGGGTGGCAGGCGAGAGGTCAACAAGTGGTAGAAGGGATGCGCCAAGTGTGACAAGAGTAGTTGTTGGGCTTGTTGAATAAAATTGAGACACTTGAAAGGCGGGTAGACTATGAGTGTAAAAACGTAAAGTACCAGGCAAGTCATTCACCTTACTTCTTTGTGCACTTCCACATTGCTCCTTCACTGTGTTCGTACCTGCAGCAAAAATCTGTATATTTGAATGCACAATTATGCCAAAATAGCAGTTACGTGAGTTTACTTATAGTACTCAACGCATCAGTCCAGTGAAAACAATAGTAAGAGTTGCTGGGTATGGCTTATTGCATCCCACTAAATCAGTTATCAAAGAGCAGACGATCGTGGATAACCTCTGGTCAATCTGTCGGATTAACGAGGGAGGGGGATTCAAAAGGATTGTATAATGAGATTTTACTCGAAATACTTGACGATGGTAGCACATTATTCACAACTTCCATTTTTACACTCAGGGAAGTCATTCAGCGGAAGGCAGACGAATTCAAAATCGCATGTCTCAAAGAAATCAAGGAAGCGTTTAAGGATGACGACGCACCTCAAGAAGAACCGCTCCCTTTTATTGCCGGATTTGGTAATCGCATTTCCGATATCAAGACGTATCGAGCAGTTGGATTGAAGGATACGCAAATTTTCACAGTGAACTACAAAGGCCGAGTAACATGTGGTCGATACGGTCAGGAGTGGACTTCGCCGGACAAGAAAAAGCCCATCCGCTCCAAAGTAAAAACACAAAAGGCTACGGGCGTGGCAAGTGAAGCAGAACATCAGCCCACGGAAGAACCCGGAAACACGGAAACGGGAAAAATCGACTTAACTTACGATGCTCTGTTGTCCATGGTTCACAACTATTTTCCACAACCTCATGATCGATTGGTTCACGCAGACGACTGCTCCGATTACACGTTCTGGCGGCTATAGCGCAATCACCAAAAACCTGGGTACTAACCTAGCCTGTCACAGAGTTACGCATATCAGCCTTCCTCTCTCCCCACGCCATCCAATCACATTTACGAGTTATCTATTTATTTTGTCTCATGCACATACACAGAAAGGAAGAGACACGATCAAGACATATATCATCCTCCCCCCCCACACGCACACATCCAATGAAGTCAAACAAAGTACTTTCTTTGTGTTTTTGATTATTTTCTACGAGCTCGAATACAATTTGTACAGAATCAGATGGGTTCCATCGCGTACCTTTTTACATTTTTATGGGTCCACATCCATGCTGAAAGGAAACAAAAGGGGAACGTAAACGAATAGCTGAGTTCATTCAGATTGGCAAAGGATCAAAACAAGAGCAGTATGAAAAACAATAAATTCATATTTCACAATCGGAACTAGTAAGATGAATGAACAAGGCAGCATTGGACTGCTCGGGCTGCTACGAAAGCAAACTTTACTGTGGGTAAAAACAATCCAGCAAGTTGGATAAGAATCAAAATGCTGAACGAGAGAAAGCGCAAAAAATAGATGTTCACGCACACAGGCTTCAAATGTAACGATCGACTGAATTCGGCTAGTTGGTGGTTGAACTATTACGTTCACAGTTTAGTAACCTCCATGAGATTCAAACCGAGCTGGACGAATAATGCTAAGATTAAGGATGTAGGGATTAGATAATGTTAATCTCCGCATCAAGACCGAAGGAAAACATGTTAACTTTTCGCATAATACTCTCTATCGCTGAGGTAAAGCAAAACGGGCACACATATATAGCTCATTGGTTGGGTGAATTTTAGTGAACGAACGTGTACAGATAAACAGCGGCTATCAAATTTTTTTAATTAAAAAAAATATTGAGATCAACCCCACGGCAGGTGAACTGATTGCGAAAATAACGTTTGGTGCATAACATGAGATGATGTTATCTGATTATTAACGAACCAATAGCTGCCAAGAGTTTTGCGTTGCGGTTACTTGAAACGGTTTAACGGAGGAAGTAGGATAAATTGTCAGTTTACAGACCGTGGTTTTGACCTGTTATTTTTAATTTTAAAAACCCCTGCCTATCTGTACCAGTCCGTTCACGAGGCTTTATAGACCCAATGTGCTATAAATGTGCTTGTTCGTCTTACGTTGACGATTGAGAATATTATATTGTATTATATTAGGAAATGTGCTCCGTGGGACTATTTCCACAATTAAACGAAATGTTAACGTCCCGCTACATGTGTCTTCGTTCTGTCTTAATTCGATGGGTAAAGGGGACTCAGTGGTTTAGAAACCTCACCTCACCTGGTCAAACTGCAGTGGGGTGAAACGAATTTATTGAAATATTCAAAACACAAATTCTATATCCTGGGTACCCGATGTTCTCAGTTCGGCATTTTTAACCGCGAAATGCTAACCACTGCGAGTCGATATGGAACCGTACCGTTTCGAAACACTGTCCCAAGCACCGGATCGAATAGGTGATCGTATCAGGACTAATGATATGCGCTCAACTATTGAAGAACTTATATTTTAGGAGCCCATTCAAAGCCATTAGTTTTGTGTACCCGCAACGCGGTTTTCTGCGATGTGCTTGTTGTCTGATGTAAGCAGTAACGCAGAACGTGGAGTTCGAAACAAAGGAAGACCGGCCATTCAGAGTGACTCGAAAGAATCTCAGGAACAGAGAATCAAATCCGAGTTTACTTCGACATTGCATTCAAATATAGGGTAGTACTAAAGAGATAAGAAACTCAGCGATTTTTATGTATCTTAACTGTTTATTAATCTCACCGACACCGAGCCGTAAACAAACGATGGCTATTTCATTACCATTAACATCATCATCATCGTACAGCGAAATACCGTGAAGCGGACTTCACTTCAATTCCGAAATCCGCAATGCATGCAAGGTTAGTGGTATTATGTAAGTTAGACAGGGATTGAGCCTATATGGTCAACACAGAGTAGACAATCGAAAAGTGAATACATATCGTTTCAAACATTCTGGCCAGATAAGAAATTACAACAAGAACGCCACTGCTGTCGGTTCGCTGCCATATCCTTCAATGTCTCCAACTAACCACATGTGGAGTCTTTCGGACCTCAACCCGGGAGGCGCGTGACACCTACTCTACCTAATGGCTCTGTGCATTTCTTCATACCTCGTCTCTACGTCATTTGTTGGCCTCCATGTGTTTTCCTCCAACCCGGAGCGGCTACAGCGAATAAGGCGCAATGTGGTAGACGATAGCTGGGCATACGCAAAACGTGTCCTAGCCAGCGAAGCCTACCAATCTGAATTCGACCAGCTAGCAAATTTATTCTTCATAACCTCAAAAAAACGACAGCTTATCTCCAGATGACTACTTGGGTAAATGCGGTAATCAGTAATCGAGAGAGACTGGGAGAACGGCGCTGATGTTTGTGATTCACCGTCGATTTGTAGCACTTTGGGAAAAGACCATCATAAGGTCTCGCGTTTGCATTTACTCAAAAAATATACGAGAAACATGGCAATACCCAAGAAAATTCGACAGTTGATTATCAAAACGAATTTCCCAAATCGTTCACAACCAACTCATGGCTCTTACCTGGCGCTGACTGAGTTGGACAAATCTAGCAATACGACATCAGGATTCGAATGGGCTTCTTTCGGGTGATTATTCTGCTCGGATAGCTCAGTGACCATATGCTCGTCGGCCAAGTCGCAAAGATAGTCTAGGATGGCCAGTTGTTCTTCCAGACGTGATACGCGCTGATAGTGACGAGCTGCAAAGGGAATTATAAAGCGCGCATATAATGGACTGCAGACCGTTCTAACCGCGTTATACGATCCAGTAGATGTCCTTACACCCAACTTACTTGACCGTAAAGATAAAACTAATGAAGGTCAGATAATTAATACACATTGAGGCTAGTGACAGAGAGAAAGAAAGCGCCCAATCTCAGGCCACCCCTCGGTGTGAACGAATCACCCCACCCCCGAAAGAAATGACCGACATTTACACAACTCACCTGATGCCACATAGCACAACTGTCCTGGGGATGTAACTTAGACGGTCGTATTCTTCATGGTTTGGAGTGTTAATGAATCACACAAACTGCTGCATAAGTGGTTCCACTGGTACTCGACTCAAAAGCACGAAAATCAGGAGTTTAGTACTCCCGGAACTAATCAAACTAAAAATCCTTATGACTACAGATGACGCTTGCTTTTTTATCGTCACACAGAGATGTGTAGTGGAAAAACTCCGTACAAAGAACGAAACACATTGTCACTGGAGCCAATTGCTTAGTGGCAAGACGGAGGGAAATCCGAATTGATAAACTTGTGGTGTCTCATATATTTATCATTATAGACCGTACGTTACGACATGATGATGCACTGTGGCTATGTGCAGCAAGCAAGCTTAAACTAAGATGAATTATCTCAAAATGGAATGTACATGTTTATACAGTAAAAAAAACAGGAGTCAACAGTATGGTTTGAGTTAAACAGGTGTTGTTAAACGCAAGTAGCGGTCTGAGAGAAATCTTGCAAAAATGAAAAACGAGGGTAGAGAGAGAGAGAAAGAAGTCATTCAGCTGCATGAGACAATCCAAGGTCAAAATCATTCAGTGTTCATGGCGGTTTGTGTCTTAGCTATTAGAAACAAGGCGAACGATCTGTGTACTTCAAGATATATAAAACTTTCTACAGAATGCATAAAGTGAATGCTCACATGCACTAGTAGAACATCCTTTATTCCACGTCAAACAACACATTTAAGAACCAGACAATAACAATCTTGTGCACGTGACGACTGTGTCTCACACACGAACAATCACGCTTTCGATTGCGGACAGATAGACGGATGCCACAGCTGGCATCTTTCAACGATTCCGTATGTGTGA